TGGTTTTCATAAAATCGGCTAGGTGTTTCCAAAGAATTCTGCCATATCTTTCAAAATATACCACCTTGAAGTAGCAAACAAAGTTCTAGGTCATTTGGCATCAATGCTGCTCATTTCGCAAAATCTACTGTTTCCAAAGAATTCTGCCAACATTCAAAATGTGCCATTTTAAAGTGGCAAACAACGTTTTAGGCCATTTGGCATCAATGCTGCTCATTTCGAAGAAACTATTATATATAATTAGCAATTAATGAATGAGGCTGAGTAGGATATGAAGAATTAAGCGGATCGAGGAAGGTGTTATCCACCGAGGCCAAAGGGGGGAATTTCATATACCCATGATGCATCGCTTCATACTATATTATCAAGCTTCCGAACGCACGTGATGCTATCAGTTCAACAGGGACGTGACAGTTGAACAGCAGTGGAAAGCGACTTGTTTTGCCGATAACACTTTCTGTACCTTTGCTATGTCGATCTATTTACGATTTTCGTTTTACTACTCCAAATATATCTCTTGTTAAGTCAAAGAGAGTGTTTTGGCCGCCGATTATGAGTTAACTAGCCTTACGATAACAACGCAGTCCACATAAATGTTCTTAGAAGCTAGATCGGAAGGTCTTTGCTTCAGTACGTCCTGTTTTGACGTGCGTTGATAGAGCTCTCGGCTTAACTACAGTGGATTAACAAGCGATTTCCACGTACTGGTCTTGAAATAAATACATATTCTAGGTGTGAGATTTCTCTTCGTTGCTTGTTGGTGATCGCGGTGTTCATATTGTCAGTTCAATAATTCATCGATGCAGTACATCAACCGTACGGTGACCGCACATGCTTTTACTCCAACAAGCTCGGCTTATGTCGTCGAAAATACCGAGACCGTTAAAGTGCAAAATGACGTCTATCGGAGATAAAATTCAAAGGAGGGAAATAACCTCCAACAAACAATAAAAATAACAAAGACATCTCTATATTTTTCGTAACACAACACCAGCTAAGCATCATATTGTCAAACATAAACAGAAAAAAGCTTTATTAAGAAATGACAAAATACATATACAAAAACACCTAATTCTTCACTACAATAGATCCTAAAAGAATTATCAAAATGCCTTAAGAGGTTTTATACGCCGGTTGAGGTCCTACGGCGTGATATTCCATGACATTTGCTGGCCTGTATATTTCAAGTTCGCCACGCGCGGTTGCGACCGGAAGCCACCATGAGAAACCAGTTTTACCTAAAATAATGAGACAAAAAAGCTTTAATAACTATAACCCATTGAATTTAAACATTCATCATACCCTCAAGAGATAATATTTGTGTTTTGATCAGCGAAAAAAGAGCGAATTCAAGAAAAAATGTCCCATATTCGCAGGACTTAGCATAAAGAAATTGAAACCTTCGTCTTGCATCTTTTAGCAGAGATAGGGCAGAAAATGCCGGAGAAAATGTGATATTTCAAAACGATCAATTTAATGCGATGTTTACAGAAATGTTACTGTGCAGTTGTAGAAATTAAACTGCTTTGTGCTTTGGTTGCAATGGTTGTGAGTTTGAACGTTCAGATCTCGTAAAATGAATTCTTCTTGGGAATTTGTTAGCAGTCCAAGTTCCTCATTTCGATCATTTTCGCCAGCTTCAGAAGCCACGACATTGTTTTTGTTGTTGTCAATTACAGCCATAAGGCTACCCGCCATGTTTGTTTTTGTGTTTGTATCGGTTTTGCTGTAAGTTTTTATGCTGCTTTCGTTTCTGTGTCCGCTTACCGACATGATGTGTCGCGCTTCAAATCCACTTCTGTCGAGTATAGTTATGGTCGTCGCTCTGATTGAATGATTTGTGTATATTGTTGACAACTCCGCTTGGTGTGAGATGACTTTCATCTTCTTGCCGAGAGTGTTCTCGCCGACAACCATGTTGTCATACCAAATTTCTCCTTCACCAGCTGACTTTTTTGGTCGCTGAAAAAGGTATTCATTCATTGGATTCAAGACACTCAAACATTTGAAACGCATTTGTTGAGACCGTTGGGAGTCCAGAACAGGTTAGGATAACTAACCAGGGTTTACCTGTTTGATTACAAAACCTGCATTATATGCAAGAATCTACAATTTTCAAAATAGGCACTGTCAACCCTGATTGGACCCTTATATCATGATCAAGTCGATTTTCTAGACAATCATGTACTTTAGAAAATATTAAAGAAGTATAGTAAAATTGTATGTAAATGAACTAATACTAACACAACTGATTTGACTTATAACGAACACTTACTGGTTCTTATATCCTCATTCTTTTCTAAAAAAGAAAGGTAAAAAACAAGTCTGTAAGTAAACATGGTTGTGATGTCAAGATACAGCCGACTCCCGATAACTCGAACCTTCTAGGGAAATCGAAAAAAGTTCGAGTTAGTGGGAGTTCGAGTTATTGGTAGTTCGTAGCAAATAACCGGAAACAAGGAAATAAGCAAATGGATGGGGAGGGAATACAATTAAGCAACAAAGTATACGGGAATGGACACTGAATTTGAACTGAAGAGACAAAAAAGTAAGGAAAAAGAATTGACACGGTTGTTTCAGTGTCTCGGACTTCAGTACACGGGATTTTTTATCCTGACTTGTCACAAGCTTATAACATGGTTCGAGTTATCGACGGTAAAGTTATATAGAAACGATCTGAAGGGAAACAAAAATTACTTCGAGTAAGCGGGAGGTTCGATTCATCCAGGGTTCGATGCGGGTTACCAGGGTAAAATGAGAGTAAATGTATGAAGGAAATCCTGGGGGAATAGACTTTGGTTCGAGTTACAGGGGCACCAAACGGATCTGTTCCACAAAATATCTGTTCTGCAGGCAAATTTTTGCTTGCTGGGAAATTTGGAAAGTGTTGATGGGAAATAGACAATTAAGGGTGGCTTTGGAGATTTGATGTGTAGAATAGCTTCTATGTGCTATTTGTCAGAAACCTCTTTCCCCTCCCCTCCCCTCCCCCCACTAAAGGGGTGAACTTCGCTACTGGGCCACACTAAAATTCCTTATCAACTCCCCCGCACTGAAGGGCTGAATTTTGTCCTATAACCAGGCCCAAACTGGCCAGTAATGTCTGGACATACGTCTGCTGGGAAACTTCCCAGCAATCTCCCAAAATGCTTAAAATGGCTTCAGAAAGCTTTATTCATACTTTGTTGTTGTTTTGGGGTCTTTTCCTCGAAATTTCCCGTTTGGAGTTAGCGCGATGTTCGAGTTAGCAAGGGTTTCAGTTATCAGGAGTGAACTGTATTTTGCTTTGTATTTTGCGCAATAGAAATGTTAGTTGTTGTTATTATTAGTATTAGTATTAGTATTAGTATTAGTATTAGTATTAGTATTATTATTATTATTATCATTATTATTAGTAATGGTAACAGGACTGAGTGGAGTCCAATTCGGTCTGTAATCATACGAGTGATTAACAAAATCGGACGACCGCGTAGCGGGAGTCCGATTTGTTTAATCACGAGTATGATTACAGACTGAATTGGACGACACGAAGTTCTGTTACCAATTAATCATAAATTTAACAAAACTTGTGATACAATAGGCTATTTTTTAAACCAAAACACAAGAAATTCGAAATTTTGTTTTGCTTGCAGTGAAAAAAAAAGCCATTTAAGCGCGCGCGTGATGGCGCGTACTGTCCAATTACTTAGGCATGACGCGTACTGTCCTATTAAACTGTCCAATTAAGGCTGAAATCAGGGCAGTTGAGAGCCAATCAGATTTGACAATTTTGTTATAGTTATGATTATTATTATTATCATTAAGCATCCTTTTTGCAAACAAGAACTTATTAGTATACGCGTGCAAGACCTCGTGACTGGTGAGAATTTCTCTTTAAATTGTGCCATAACAAAGAGTAATTTTGCATTTTTCTTTTTTTTGTCAGGGAAGTTAAGTTTTTTCTCTTTTAATGAGTGCCATAACAAAGAGTAGTTTTGCATTTTTCTTTTTTTTTTGTCAGGGAAGTTAATTTATAAAAGCAAAAGAAATCTTTTTTTTTTCGGTATTTTTATACCTGATATAAGCACTCGAGGGGTTGGGAGGATTTTCGACAGTTATGCAAACCCGAGACTTCCTCTCAGGTTTGCATAACTGTCTCAAATTCTCTCAAGCCCTCGAGTGTTTGTATAAGGTTATGCAACCACGGAAAATAAAAAAAAAAACGTTTTCTATTGTTTAATTCACATGTTTTAGAGAAAAACCTTTGGCATCCGGGGTACTTTCAAAAAGGACAAAATAGTAATAGGGTGTTAAGGATCAAACACGCAAGAGCAAATAAGAGAAAGGTTCATGTTAAGTCCTAAATGAATAAAACAATCTTCGTTTTCCCCTGTGTGGGCCTGAGTACAAGTTGCATCTAACGGAACAAAAAATTTAAAAAAGTAAAACAAAGCAATCAGATTATAATGATCATGAGGGCTTCAAAGAGGTGGAAGCGTAAGGCGACATGGCTCGGGAAACTTGTGACAATCCTCCCCCTTAAAGCACCGACGATCGACAGCCAACATAGGCGCGTTTAACGTACATGAGCTATTTTGAATGCTTCAGTGTACCCGTATCAACAATCATATGTTTTAATCATAAATTTAGCCTTTAATTTTTTTGTGCGAAATTGGATATATTGTTGTACATTAATAAAAACGGGAAACGCTGCGCAGGGCTGAGTCGATCGTCATACTATAGATTCACTTTTCTTTGCCTTGCCTTCGGACATCCTGATGCACTGTATGCGCGAGAGAGAAATTTGTGCCAGAACAAAAAAACGAAGCCCATTTTTGAGCCTGGTCATCCCCATGGAAACGCCCACCTTGTGCACGTCCATTCCTACGAAAATGAGGTAAATTTGTTCATGAATGAAAACTCATTTCCGTATGAAAGTATAAGCAAAAGAGACTGAAAGTAATTCAGAAATAGCCTACTATCTAACAATACAGGCAGCTACTGATCGGAATATTGAAAGGTTAGAAATTGTACAAACCAAGCTTTTGCCGACATTTCTCTGTTTGACTTTTGGTAGGAGTTGCATCTGAGTGAACAAAACAAAATAACAAGAAAAATGACTACTCAGTTTGCTGAATAACAGTCCCCTCCACAAATAACCCGTTGGAAACAACAATTTTCAACACACTTAATATGGGCACCGATTAATAAAGACAAATGACACTAAATTCTATCTCCCGTGTCACCTACTCTCAGTTATCGTCAACCTCACTTTACGGACACTGTTTAATCTACGTCGTGTCTAAGACTGAACATATCTTGCCAGTGAAAATCTAACAGAAACGGCAAATGACCTTTCAAACACACACTTTCTGTGTTGAGTCCATCTGGCTGAGCCACAAAACTAAAAGCACAATACAAACTTAAGTTACCTACTCCATTGTTGTATGTCAAGACAAATGCACCACACAATGTATTTGAAAGGTAGTTTTATGATAAATTGTTGTGAGGATTATTCTTCGGGATCAACTTGTTAAAGTTAATTATTACAGATAAGAAATGAGACAATGTTTCCTCGCTGTGAAAATGTCTGTTTTAGTCTTCAAACAGTTGTTTGTGACATTTTTTCTGACAGCCTGCTCAATACGGACACCCGGATAATAGGGACACTATAACATGACCTCTTGGTGTCCGTATCAACCGGGAGACCTCAAGTTAAACAAACAATAAGCCCAAGTTTTTAGGTTGCATTTCACTAACCTATATATGGCTGAAGGTCCTCTAGCACGTCATACCGTTCCATCTCTTTTAGCAAAGATGTCAGCTCTGAAATTTTCCTGTCATTTTCCCGGAATTTTCTTAATAAGTTCATAACAGGATTATCTGTACTTCCAAGCCACTGAATGAACTGATTTGAGTATCCCATTCTGTCTGCTAATGACCTGTAGTCTCTTCCGGTGGCTGATAATCGTTGTAAGTGTTCTAGTAGCTTCTGGTAACCTTCAGAGGGCAAATCTTTCAATAGTTTCTCATCACCAGCTGCTGTTTCACCAACTAGCAGGGAAATTACAAAAGATCCACTATCAAACCCTTGAGACACATCAACAGGTTAGTTGTTTCTCGTTATTATTAGGGACCTTAAGCAGCCAGGACGAGTTTGAGGACGACGACGAGAGAAGACGAATGAGGTCTGGGTCGAGAACGTCGTCCACCTTTGAGCAAGCTCCCGTCTCAGCTCCTCGCCGAAGTAGGTAGACTGCACTGAATGGCTTCGCTTAAAGAAATACGATAGTTGCTTCTTTTTAGCGTTGAGAACAACACAATTAACAAGGAAGAATTTTTCCTACTCTCCGAAGGATTTAAATCAGTAAACCGTGAAAACGAAGAATAGTATTTCAGAGACCGACCTGAACTGACCTGAACGGGACCAGAAAAAATAAAAATCGATTTTAAACGAAAAACCCAGAGGCGGATCTAGGGGAGGAGCCAGGGAACGACCACCCCCCCCCCCCCCCCTTTTTTTGGCCCAAAAAAAAACCCCCGGGGCCGAAAAAAAAAAAATTTTAAACGGGGGGGGAGCCGGGGTTCCCCTTTTTTTCAAGGGTGGGGGGGGGGGGGCCTTTTGGCAACTTTTTGCCCATCCCCCGTCCCCCTTTTTTCCCTTTGTGGCAAACACTAAAACAAAAGGGGAAACCAAAGAGAGACCGCACCCACCGATCTATCCCACAAATTCTTTTTTCCACCCCCCCCCCCCCCCCCCTTATTTTGAGACCAAACTAAAGCCCGATGGGCCGAAAAAAAAAAAATTTGAGACCGGTAGGAGACCGGGTATCCTCCTTATCTCAAGGTCTGGGGACGAGTGCTCTTGTGCCAACTTTTGCGCAATACCTCGATCGCTGATTTGCAGCTGTTGCAAAGCCAGTAATCAAAGGAGATACAGTAGAGCAGCACGCTCACCTGAATTATCCGCAAAAATTTGTTTTCCCCTTTCATATTCCTGCTCAGAAATAGACACCATTAGTTTTACTTCATCAATACCAAGGATTTCTTAGACCTCATGTGTCACTAGCGTTTCTTGAACCACTTGATTAAGGTAACCCCTTTTGCAAACTTTCCACAATCCTTCAAGGATCTGCAGGGAGCTACATTTAACAGTTATCAATAGACTTCCCAGTTCGATGTCTTCAACAAGGGCATTCAGATTATTTTTTAAATATCGAAAAAGTAATCTGAAAGAGTCTTTGAAAGCCATGATAACGTTCCACATGTCTAGTTCTGCTTGAATTTCGCGCTGGTTTTCTTCCATTTCACCGGGGGGGACCACAAATCCAAACTGAGCGATATTGTCCATAAGCCGTACTGTTGCTGTTGGAAAAATACAACAGTTGATCATTATTCAATAAGGAAAATTCGATACTTGCACATCTGGGAAAAACTTTAAAGACTGAAATGATACCATTTCATCTTTAGAATGTTTCGCTACGCAGGCGCGCCTTCTCTGCATATCAGTAACTGAAGGCATTTTGTGTCAGCAATCACTGAGACCGGGACGAGCTAAACGCTTAAATATATGTTCATAACCCACCCTGCGGAGATAATCTTCGCCCTTCGACAAGACTGTCTATACGCAAGGGACCATCATATTTAAAAAACAGTCTCTTCCTGTTTTTCTAAGCTATATCAAATAAATAGAGTAAAAGAAAGCTTCGACAAAGAGACTCTCTTAAGTTGTTAATTACATCATTAGTTTTTAGCAAAATGCTTTATTGTTCAACCGTCTGGTCCAATACTTCAACTCAGAACATAAACAAATTACAGTCAATTCAGAACTTTGCAAGCAAAATTGTAACGACTGTAACGAATTCTAGAAAATTATTTTGACCACGTGACCCCTTTACTCCGCCAACTTAACTGGCTCCCTGTCAAACAGTTATTGTACTATAAGGACTCTGTGTTAACTTACAAATGTTTCAAGGGCCTCGCACCTAAACATCTGGTAGATAAATTTACTAAACGCTCCAGCATCAATGCCCGCCACACCCGTAAGCGTGATTTATTATATATAACATTGTATAGAACTGCTAGTGGCCAACGCACATTCGCATATAGAGGAACTAGTATCTGGAACAATTTAGATAATGACATAAAGCAATGCGTTTCCTTCCAGTCTTTCAAGCAAGCTATAAAAGGGCAACTTTTAGAGCAAGTCTTTTCAAAGGTGTTTTGTTTTTATGAATTCTTATTTTCTTATATTTATTATTTATACCTTAAGTAGTTTACCATTTAATGTATTTAATATGTCATTGTAAATAGTGTCCGAAAAACCTTTTGAGGATGATTCTATTAAAGTTCTATTCTATAAGCTCTTTCAGCTGCGCAAGAAAACCCTTGTTATCTTGTGAAATGCTATTTTGCTACTCTTAGGAGTTAGGACTGAATGAAAAAAATTTATAGAAATTATCATTTAATACTTAATGTATAACATAACCCACAAGCAACCGGTAATACTGACCTACTGGCTGACCCCTTAAGGCTTCTTTTTCTTTCATTTCTCTGAATTCCTCGTGGATAAGTTCTTTTAGGTCTTTTAGCGCTTTCTTCAAGTCCAAGTCTTTTTCGTACCATAACTCTAGCTCTTTGGCGTATATCTCTTCCTCTGGCGTCTTTCCAGTTGCTTTGTTTTTGAGGGCTGAGGTTTGCTGCAATCCTCAACAGCGATTCACTGATTTGCCTCCACAGGTCATCAAAGTGATCATCAGGAATTTCCAAATTTTGGGGGAGGAGTAAGTGGGCATATTGTTCGCAACAATCTGAAGGTTAAACTAATGTCAAAATCACTCGACTTTCCGTATACCCCTGGGGAAGGGTACAAACATTTCCAGTCGGGACTGGTAAGCCTTGTTGTTTTGAGCTGCCTTTCTACTGATGGCTTACTGAAAATTGTGGGAAGGCTGGCAGGACTGTGATAAGAGTCGAATATCTCTCTTAAAAGCACTGCACTGACGCTCATCAGAAGCCGTGTTAAACGCCGAAAACTGGCTTTTGTCCTCGTTGATCGTAACGTTTCTGCTGCGTCATCAAGGGCAGCCATGGGTACTTACAAGAGAAAGCGAGTTCCAGTTGATCAGAAGTTAAGACATCATGTGCTGAAACGGAAAATAGTTGAGACATGTTAAGCACAATGAAAACAGTAGCTGTTAATTGAGTGATGATGTGATGCCTTTCAGGTCCCAAAACATGAGTGCGCTCCTACAGTCGAATCTCTATGCGCGACCACCTCTCGTAAGCCACCACCTTCCATAAGCGACCGATTATCCAAAACACCAAAACTTTCCCAGTCAAAGCCTTACAATTGCAACCTCTAGTAAACGACCACCTCTTGTAAGCGACCGTGACCACTTTTTGAACCTGAAAATTCAATGATTTTTCATTGTTTTTAACCTCTTATAAGCGACGGCCTGACGCATTCTCTGATCTCTATGTTCGCTGTGTGCATTGTGCTACCAAGAATATACGAAGAACCGCTTTTAGTAGCAACATAGACCTACACATGGCAAAGCTTAGAAATTGTATGTGACTGTGAATTATCGTCCATAAAGTAGATGTGCCCGCCGGGACCTCTTGACCTCTTCTTGCAAGATGCCCGGCCTGTGGTTTTATTCTTGCAAGCGACCACCTCCCGAGCAACCCCTTAGTCTTCGCATTTTGGGTGGTCGCTAACGGGAGGTTCGAACTACAATTCTGGGGAAAAGTCATTGGGACAGTGATACAGTGTTCGTGCTCTTACAAAAAAATGTGACCTTCTCCGTTCTCCCGTCCCCTCCCCTCACCCTATACAATGTTGAAACTCGGGAAAAATTCTGGATCCATGCGTCCAAACTTGTTTATGGGGTTGGTGGGGGGGGGGTGGAGGAGATGGGTATGCGCTTTCTAAGGTCCTTAGTTCTGGATTTCTCTCAAACTTCTGCATTGTTTGTCAGACGAGATGTCTGCAGGATGAGGGTTAATTGACCTCCCTCAGTTTCAGTGAGTTCAATTGCTCCAATAGAACAGTGAAAGACTTTTACTCTACTAGCATCATATATCATAATTTCCTGTAGACTTTAAATGGAGTCTGTCATCGTCCTTTGTCATTAGTCGTTGTTTTCACCTGTTTATCAGATTAGGTTTAGTGTTAATTCAATTCTAGGGACGGTGTTGCTAGGCTCCATTGATCTTTCCAAAAAGCAGGAAGTCTAATTTTGATCGAAGAAAGGTTTATAACCAGGAGTTAATCGCAGAAGACTTTAAAAAAAACTAACTCCCGGAATTTATCAAAATTTAAACAGTAAAAAATACACCAAATTGAATGAAACGAACAAAATCGTTAAAAATGTTAAAAGAAGGTATATCACAGGAAATTCTTTAGGAGGTATGGATCGACAAACTTGAAGAAGTTTGAAACGGATTGCAATTGTCTGGTTATGGAAAACTCGTTGGCCTTACAGTTTTTCAAAGTTCGTTTTGTTGTTTGTCCGTAACGTTTGATATATGCTGGGAGACACATTTGTTTGATACCTATCAGGCTGTGTTGTCATTAACCAATAATTTCTGAAGTTCTTATTATACCTAATAAGCCCCGGGGCTTAAATCTGCAAGACGTCAGGGGCAAGTTGAACAATTATGCTATTTAATATTTTAATATATGTGAGTTGTTATGACTTCATTTTAACTTCTAAGTAATAGCGATTCCACGGTTCAAACTTGAACCATTTTAGAGTTCCGTTTCAATTAGCTTAATTACCCTTCTACAAACCGATTTCTGACGTTACATACAGCTTTTTATCATTCGATAAGCAGACTCTTGAATTCGAGTGTAATCAGGGATAACATGCTAAACTGGCAATGAGTGGCTCATTACTTCAGTCGAGATTAAGTTTTGGTAAACTGCGTTAAAAACTCGTCTACACAAAGTATTCTGCGAATCTAACAGGTAGAAATATAATTTATCTTACCTAAACACCAAGCTATTTTATGTAACCCAGTACAGACGAGAAGCTTCACTCTACTATTCGGTAGAGTAGCAGCGCAAGGTTGTTCCTGATTGGTTCGTATGTTTTAGGGGTAATGACGGTAGCATCCAATCATAGAGATCTTCATTGTCACGAAAACATCATGTCACGAAAACAACGCTTTTTACGTGCCTGCATGATGTAACTTACCATTGTAACCATTGACTGAAACCATGCGTTTGATATTGTTAGGCTTTCTAATGTTTTGCTATTTACTTTTATGTCAGTCTCTATGGTAGTGTAAGTAACTATTTGATTTGCGGTCCAAATAACTCCAGTACCTTTTGCTTCCACTTGATCTTCGTCTTTTGTCATCATCGATGAAAACTTATAATGTACTGTAAAATTCATGATCAAAGATTCATTCTTATTGAAAGGTCACCGAAAGAAGTATATAGCTTGCGTAAATAACACTAAAATCTGAAGTTTCGTAGCTGTTTTCGTTGTCTCCGGGGAGAAATTTATAAACATAAGCCAATCAAAAAAAAATACAAACCAGTCACAGCTTGAGACTTGATATAACATCAAGCTTTTCGGCTCCTTGTATTAAAAGAACTATGAAAAACGTTTTCAGGTAGTACTCACTGACATGTAGGTAGTAACTGTGTTTATCCTGTACTCTCTTATTTTCTACTATTCTTTCTATGATTACTATTCTTCCTCTTATTCAGTAAAGTTTAGCTGTGTATCATTTTCAAGGATAAATTGAATGCTTATAACAAGTTTGGTACCTTGAGTAGAAAGGGACATTAGATGAATGGATAGCCTGCGAATACAGCTGTCTATTGTCGCTCCTGGCCGCTCAGGACCGCGAAACGTTCCTAGCACGAAGCGAGGAAAGAGGACTGTATTTGCAGGCTACTGAATGGTACGGTTGCCCAAGAGGTCGGTTCAGGCTTTTTTGGTTTTTCTTCTGATTCCACCTATCTGGATGGGCGTCTGCAAAGACGTTCTTGACTTTGATTTTTTAAAGGAGTAAGGCGTAATTCATTTTACCCAGGATACGGTCAGACCTTTATCAAGCGAACATACAGTTAATTAGCGGTGGCAATCCAACAAGCGAACACTTTTTCCTTTCTATTATAATTTATTTAGTTTTATCGCTTTCTTAAGCCTCAGTACACGGGTATATGTTACAGAAGTTAAACAAAATAGCTATTCTGTCGAAAATTGTAAAAAGAAAATTAACACAAACCTCGTAGAAATAAGATTTAAAAAACACAGTTCAACCCTTGGACTTACACGCAAACTCATATATTTCGAATAAGATTTTACCTTCGGTGGAAGGCCTCTCGACAAGATGAGGTATATTTTATGGGCTGTGGCGCTGCTGGAGGCCTGTGACTCACCAGACATGGTTGCCATCTTGGCCGCCATCTCGGATTTACCCACAATTAGAAAACAGGTTAAAAGGAGAGAATTGTTAGTTTTTTTCACACAATGTGGTGAGTAGATCTGAATATTGCGCGCACTCTGATTGATCGTTGCCCATGATCTATCAGGAGTACAGATACATGGATGACGTCACGGGAAACTTGTTTTGCGCCTTGATTTGTTCAATATGGCGCACGGTTTTTTCTTTTTCGGATTAAGCAAGTGGGAGCCTCAAAAAAAGTTTAAAAGAAGCTATTTACAAAGAAAGAAAAGAAAATGCAGTGACGAAAAGTAGCGTTTTTGCCTAAACTGACAGCTGAACTGGGACAAATCCTCGAACAGGACCATTATCTCGCAGTATAAAACTTTGGAATACTGTCCACATTATGAGTAGTATAGGGCGCATAACGTAACCTACACCACTTTAGAAGCTATACTTAGAAGTAGAAAAAGTTCGGTACGAAACCTAATACGATCCTAATATACATATTGATATGAATCTCTCTACTCAAAAAGCCAATTTAGAATATTATTAAATTCTTATACTCTGTAAAACCTATGCAAAGACATGATGATATAATTATCTCTACTAGAAGCCTATTTGGAAAATTATTCAGTTTTTATACTCTAATTTTCTCTTATAAACCTACACGAGGCCATCGTAATGTGATTATCTCCACTAAAAGCCTATTTAGAATAATATCAAACTCTTATACTATTATTATTATTATTATTATTATCATTATTATTATTATTATCATTATTATCATTTTGTTTCGTTCTCTGTTTTTTCTTGTATATATGCGTTTAAATTTAAAGATATTTGATGACTTGCAGAAACGATATGCTAAATGGCATAACGTTAAATTATAGGTCTGTAGTGACAACGATCTTTAGCCGCATAAGAGAACCAGCTTTATCAAAATAAACAAGTCCCATGAGAAAGCCTTCTAAGTTAAAAATATATAGCGTTTCGGAGAGGTATAATTCAACTTCCTAGAGTTAGAGAGATTAAGATTCACGTTTACCGCATACGGCAAACGTCAGAGTCAACTTGAGAATTTCTTAGAATAGAATTAGAAATCTTATTTTTGTGTAGAAGCAATAAAGAGTAAACGGAAAATAAGGGAAAACTTGGTCACGTGGTACAAATTCACGTCTGCCGTTTGGCGTAAACGTGAATCTTGGTCTCTCTCTCTATATAGACCTAAAAAATTTTCCCTACACTGTATGCAAGTTTTTTTATTAAATACGGAAACGAACTTAAATACAAATATTCCCCTAATTTGTCATACAGCTCTTTCTAGTCTGAATATGGCACACTGAGTACTCCATATAACTCGATACCAGCCAGGCACATAGCATGCGTGCCTGGTACACCGGTCGACATGTCTTTTATCTGGACTATCTTGAACTGACTATACGGTCCCACTTCCCCTTTCACAGACCACGTTTTTGTTTTGTAGGGAAGGGTTTTTTTGCCTGACAACATGTGCGAGAAGCGCTGCGACCTCCAGTCAACTTGTTGATGCCTGCCCAGCACACACCAATCATCGTCATTACAAAGCCTACCAAGGAGCTCAAAGTTTTGAAGAAAGTTCCTGTCGTTGCTTCCGAGCTGCCTCAAAGTGTAGTCAGTAGGTCTTAGGGTGTAGTAGTCTCCCAAATCCAAACACCATCCTGAGCGAGTGTAGCTGTTGACTGGAGTGAAATATTCCAATATATTTTCAGGGTCTCCACGACCATCCTCACCGCAATACGTCACTTTCACTCCGGATGATGGTACTCGAGCCGGATTCGTCCACGTAGAGACTCCAGCATTGAAGCCGAGGTAGTGAATCACTCCCTTAGTGTCGAAGTCTCGCTCACGCCTGAAATGGACTGAAATCAAACAAAAGAAAAACAAATGAAAACAAATTGAAGAGAAAACAAGGAAACGCCCTGTCACTGTGGTCCTCTTGGAATAAATAAAACTAATGAGATCTAGAATGGATGGTTAAGCGGAGGATGGCGATTTTTCGCCATTTTCGCCATTGCATGCATTTCTGGACATAAGTGTAAGCGGGCCCCACGTCGCAGCCATGGTAAATGCCCCGATGTGTGCTTAGTGCAGAATGTCTAGTGCAAACAATCCTGGCAAGAAAATCTGGAAAACCCGTTTATGGCATGAGCTTTTTTTTAATTAAAGTGAAAGCTAGTCAATTTTATATATATGTTATACATGGATTACGGACATTGCATGTGTAAGTAACGAAGGTAAAGGAGCACAAAATTCAGTCAGGCCAACTTGCAGCCCCAAATTAAATTCCGTTTTACTGTAGAAAGGCAGAAAGTGGCAACAGTTTGACTGTACTTACATTCTTTAGTTTGTGATAATTCGTTTCTTAGTCGTGTCGAAGCTCTACTTTTTTGACACCTTGAAGTCCCTTTATTCTCCACTCGTCGCGACTGTCTTCCCGATGTGTCATCGAACGCCTCTTCAAAATCATCCTTAGAACTTTCCAGACTGGATAGTGGCCCTACGTAAAGAAAGTATAAAACATTCCAGTGTTAGTAACTTTATAGTCCATCTAAATGTTTGGAAATTACTGAAATACGAACATAAAAGTGAGCCACATCAGTGGCAAAATGTGTTCTATATAACGAGGGCTCGTTAAATCGAGATATTTCATTATTACTTTTCCTTTAGCGGCGAAGCATATCGTCCATTATACCGAGGACTTCGTTTTAGAGGTTCGATATGCCGACCGTTCTACCGTAATGAAACGTAACTTTCCGCCAGAGATCATGAAGAAACTATAATCACCTCCACAGCTCTTGTACCCTTAAGGCTGGGCCGCGGATATCGCAAAGTACAGCGCAGAAATTACTTGATAAGGGAGCGAGAAAAATTTTGAAACAAAGTCAGCAAGGTTTCACAATTTGGCAGAATCGTTAAGGTGTCATCAGTCAAAGAATTGCCGGGTCTCTATCATTCTGCACTCAATTTACAATGTAGTGATGATGAGCAAGAGAAGGGACCTCTAGCTATCTTATGGTTTGATGAGGGCCATTAAAGAGAAAACTACCCGAAAGGGTAATCTCCTAGCCACACCCCTTTTCCTAGAAATATATCCGAATGAATGCAAGGGAAAGTATCAAATAACAGACAAACTTCTCAGTGGCGGATTCAGACCTTCAGATAGGGGAATTGGGGGGGGGGGGGGGGGGGCGGGGTCCCAAAAAAATTTTTTTTCAGCCCTTCACGCCTCAGTTTGGTCTAAAAAAAAGGGGCCGTGACCCCCGGGCCCCCTAACCCTCCGCTAAGTTGTTCCTTTGTTCGGGTTGGCTTGAATTTTTAAAATTTGCTTCCCTTCCCCCGGTATAAAAAAAAAACTACCCCAAAGAGTAAACTCCTAACCCAACCCCTTTTCCTAAAAAAATATCCGAAAGAATGCAAGGGAAAGTATCAAATAAAAGGCAAACTTCTCAGGGGGGGATTCAGACCTTCAAATAGGGGAATTGGGGGGGGGGGGAGTGGGCGCGGTCCCAAAAAAATTTTTTTTCAGCCCTTCACGCCTCAGTTTGATCTAAAAATAAGGGGACGTGACCCCCGGGCCCACTAACCTTCAGCTATGTTGTTCCTTTGATCGAGCTGGCTTGAATTTTTCAAATTTGCATCCCGTACCGCTGTCCGTAACTGCTGCAGCTGTGCTTCTAAGTTCTCACACTTATGTAAAAGTTCGTTCACTTCCAATTCCGAACTCTGCAGTTTGGTCTTTAGTTCCTTTGTTTGTGTTTCCAGCGCTTTACACTTGCTGGATTGTTCGTTTTCCTCGCGCTCCGCAAGATCTCGCTGGATTTTAACTTCTTCAAGTGTGGATTCAAGTTCAGCGACTCGGTTATCTTCTGAAGAAAGTTAAAACAAAAACAATTCACGAAACCTGAAAAAAAGCAACACACCCTTCCTCTTAAGGAATCGAGGTTTGTAAGTTGATAACCTCCAAGTTAAAGATTGTTCTTTGATTTTTACTTAAGCTGAAACCATCTATCAGATTCCCTGGAAGATCCCACGAGCGAGCAAGTCGAGGAAGGAAATGAAAACGGCGGTTGTCAGTTGACTAAAAAATAGAAAGAACTTCATTGAAGCGCGTGTAAATCCCCGGGGACTTATTTTTCCTGCATGTTGTAGGCGGGGTGTAACAGATAGGATGCTGGGGAGAATCCGTATAACGCGGAGGAGTTTTGGTGAGATAAAACACAGTTCTTTGGTTTGCCAAGAGAAGAAGAAGGGCCGGGCATAGTAGTTACAGGAGGAAGGTGAGGGAGACGTTTAAGATATATAGGCGCTACTGTAGGCTGTATAGTATCATCGCATGTGATGTAACGATTAGAAGCGCCGTGCCTCCTTTGATCAGAGTTTGAACGTCTCACATTTGTATCATGAAACGGTCGGGGTCAGCTGCTCTTATTTAAGCATCTAAATTCTTACACTTACCTAAGCACTTGTTTTCTTCAAAACGCTGCAATTTGGCTTTCAGATCCTCTGTTTCGATTTTCAAATTTTCGAGTTCAATTTCGAGTTCTAAGAGCCTCTTGTTCTCTGCAGAAGAAATAAAAAATAAAACATTCAAGACGTTTTGTTCTTGTTTATATTTTTATTCAAGAGATCAACGCCCATGCCAGTGGAAGACAGTCAGATCATCGGATGACTTGAAACAACTAAGCAGCTCTTTGGTGCGACAGCAGATAAGTCGAGTAAGAAAATGAGGCCCCGTTTTTATGGAGAAATGTTGCCACGGGTAGAAGAGTCGCGCTACCCTGGGTGAGTCAACTTATCATACATCTCCGTAAAAACCGTGACGATCCGTTTACACGAGAAACAAAAAAATCTTACTCGGCTGTGATGGTGAGGCTACCCTCCTAGCCAGACCACTTTTTCTCCATATAATGGCTTTGCCATTCTTGTCTTCTTGTATTTTCAAGAGCACGTGACCAAGAAACGACTGGCTCTTGGGACGAGAATGGGCTTTGGCTCTACTCGGTCAAGGCGAGACAATCAGAGCATGGGTGAGCGCTGTTTGCTTGGGTAAAAAGGTCATTACAGCCTTTTTTTT